TTTATGACCATTTATGACGATTTTACACGCTGGTATAATGATTTATATGAACACTGATATGACTGATATGACTATTATTTCTATTGTTATTGATTCCAATCGTGTACGGAATTAAGTGATTACGCGATTTTACAATTTGTTATTGACTCTACCGATCGCGCGACAACCGCGAAACGATAAATATCGCTCGACAAATCGGATGATGTAACCCGTGTCAGGCTCAATGACACCCTGTGTGAGAGAGATTTATTATTATCGGATGATATATATTTATCATTATTATTGATACACCTATATGATGATTATCCGCATTATTATTGACTCTTATCATACGAAGCATATGATTACACACGATCGTATGAATTATCATTGACACTAGCTGACCGCGACAATCACAAAACACTAAACGTCGCTCGATAAATCGGACGCGATGGAATCCGTGCGTTAGATCGTAATATTTGTGGGGAAGGGGGATGGTTATTATCATGGGATGATATATTTACGATTATTATTGACACGTCGTGATGGTTATCTGCACTATGAGTGGTTCTGATCATATGAATCAAACGATTACACGATTATATGAATTATTATCGACTCTAATTGCGTCACTCGCAAAACGTTGAACATCGCTTGACAAATCAAGCGTGCCGGGATCTGCACGTTCCGTTGTAATACTTGCGGTAGGGAGATTATTACTATGATATGGTAAATCTGATTATTATCGACACACCTATGACGATTATCTGCAATATTAGAGACGCCGATCACATATAAATTAAACGACCGCACAATTATATGAATTATTATCGACTCTAATCGCGACACTCGCGGAACGTGGAACGTCGCCCGACGTGGAGCCCGACGAATCTGACATGCGATGAGACGCGTGCGTTCGCTGTAACATTTGTGGAGGGCGACGGGAGGGAGGGAGGGAGGGAGTTATTATTATAAGATGATACATCTGGTTATTATTGACACATTCGTGACAATTGCATTATTATTGGCTCTGATTGTACGCAAATTAAACAACCGCACGATTATATGAATTATCACCGACTCTAACCGCGACACTCGCGAGGCGTTAAACGTCCCCCGACAAATCGAAGCTGACGGGTCTGCGTTGCACGAGAGCCGCGTGTTAGGCGCGCATGTAAAGCGCGAGTTAACGTCGACGTGTGAATCCGTTCGCGTTCCCTTTGGTCGCTGTGCTAAGTCGTGCGTATTAATCGACGTCGCGGAGGTCCGCGTGTCCCACGCGTGAGCGACGCGTCGCCGTCAAAGTTTCACGACGAGAGTTGCTCCCTCGAGCGCGCAACCCCCATTGACGAGACACGAGACAGGGAGCGAGCCTCGGGCGGGCGAAAGAAACAAAAGAAACCCGGGGACCCTTACCGTAGGAGAGTATCTTATTGGCGGGATCGGGTGGCGAAAGGAAGTAGGCATCGCGTTTCCATCCCACGCATCCTGTCAAGTGGATTCCCCCGGCGTACAAAGAGGATCTGACAAATAATTGGCTCCTCGGATACACACAGGTAGAGCAGTCCTTTTGAGTCCTGAGAACCTTGCGCAAGGACCATTGTGCGAGGGACACTCGATACATTCGGATCGAGTGGCTCAGCAGGGGCGAGAGAGAGAGAGAGAGAGAGAGAGAGAGAGAGAGAGAACGCGAACTCGAGTTTGGACAAACGGGACATCCCCCGATTTGAAGGGAAATCTTGCGCGCGCTTTTCACCTCGCGCTTCTCCGTGGGCAGAGGAGCCCTGAAAGGATTCTCTCGCGAGATCTCGGTGTCCGTTACCTTCCAGAAAGAAGGAAAAAGACCTCTGGTACGACCTCTCGTAGGGCTCAAAGTACACTCTCGTTCCGATAGATGGAGAAAAATAGCGAGCCGGGAGGGAGATATAGTCGTGGAAAAAAATTTACTCGGCTCCTTCGCGATGCAGCTTCGATTACTAACGACGCGGTCTCTCTCGCGAGCGTCGATCATAGAGAAAGAGAGCGAGAGAAACGACGAGAGCCACCCGGATCCCGGATCGGCGCGATGTTGTCTATGAATAATCTCACGCGATGCAAAAACGACCCGAGCGACGACACGGTAAGACGGTCGGCCGCTTGGTCAGGACGAGGATCACGTAAAACAGGTTCGCGTTCGTTTCTTCCTTCGATCGTCGTCGCGAACGGGGCAAGGGGACAAGCGCCGGTACCGAGAGAACAAACAGCGAATGAACGCGCGAGAAGCGCGTACGAGGTGTAACGAGAGCTCGCAAAAAGCCGGACCGGAAGAGCCGGGGGGCACACACCATTGCTCTCCTCCCTTGAGGGGGGCCGAAGGACGATCGCGCGCGAGCGCGATGTCGATCCGGGCGATGGATGCGCGCGACTTTTCGCAGGCATTAATATTCGGCGCGGCGCACAGGAAACTTTCTGCCTGACTTAATTAATACTCGCGTTCGTCCGCTCGTACGCTCGCTCTTTCGCTCTCGCGCTCGCGCTCACGCACGCCTTCCTTTTTGACGGCGGGGATTTAATTACTTTTTTACGTCGACTCGTAAATCATCTCGCCCCGCGGGGCCCCGCGCGGCAAGGCGACCGCGCGCGTCCTTCCTGCCGAGTCATAAAATAAAGAGCTCGGAGCAAGCAGCGAACACGTGTTGGTTGCCCGGCTGCGGATACGCGACAGCCGGAGGATACGCTCGCTCTTTCGAGCCTTATCATCGTCAGATTATCTGCGATATTTTTCGATAATACGCCTTTCGCAATCGCGTGCCCCGGAATACTCGAGATCCTCATCCGGATTCGAAAGCCAACGTCGTCGTCGTCGTCGTCGGCGGGTCGCAACCATCGGCGAGACGGAAACCTCCGCCCATACTTGAAATCGCGAATCTCACTGTGATCTTGTGCGCTAAATTTACGTTTCTCTCTCTCTCTCTCTCTCTCTCTCTCTCTCTCTCTCTCTCTCTCTCTCTCTCTCTCTCTCTCCCTCTGTTTACTCGGCCGGAAAAATTCGTAATCGTCCGACATAATTTAGCGTTCATGCGACTTTGATTCGTTACACTGATTGAGTGAGAATTAACCCGTAACTGCTGTTCTCCGGTCAATTTGACCATTGCACTGTTTGAAATTTAAATAACGCGGTTAATTTTCTAGTTGCGTATTCATCCGTCAGTGTATTTTCTTACATTCTGAATGTCAGTCGACTGATATACGCGCAGTTGTGTGGTCGTGTTATTTGTCAAGATATTCATCAATTCCGTTTCCTACCGGTCAATTTGACCGGTGAACAGTGTGCGCGTACTTAAGATGGCTTCACAGCAGTTACGAGTTAAGAGTTTAATAATATTATTTGCGACTATAGTCGCGATAGAATTATGCTATTTTTTATTCTTGTCAGCAATTGACGCCGGAAACGGTTGTAATTTTAATCATTGTTGACTTTTTCCTCAGTGCAAATTCTTTCTCCCTAGAAAGAATTTGCACTGAGGAAAATACTTCCATATTTTAGCGTCCTTCGAGGTATTCAGGGTCCTGATTTAACGTTTGCGCGTTGGCGCGATTGAGGTATTCGCGCTGATCCGCGAGGCTTGTAACGACGCCTTCGTAACGCGTCGCGATACGACGCGATGCCGCAGCGAGTTGCAATGAGATTTTCCTCTTCCTCTCCGAGACACACAATGACACTCTCCGCATTGATCTTACTCTTACTTCGCGAACCGCGTTAAAGGTTATCGGGCTCGCGCGAATCGGCCACGTCGCCCGGCATGGGCGACTGAATTTATGCTTCTCGCCTGGGCGTTTAACATTTTCGAAGCTTTCTCCTGCTCGCCTCTTTTTCTCTTTTCCTCATCGTCGGACGAGACTCGTGAACAATCACGTTACGTGAACGGGTGAAGCTCGCGCAGCGCGTTCTTGGCCTTAGGAGCAAGGAACGTTAAGTAATTACAAAGACTTAACTCGGGAGCGATTACTCGATTAGGAAATACACGACAGACCGTACAACGGCGAATTAACGTGTTGGTCCAATAGGCAAACTTTACTACCAGACTCGATAATTACAACCGGCTCTCTCATTCTGATTGTCGCGCACCGACGTATAATCGTTATTTAAAAGCCGGTCGGTATCACAACGCTGTGTGTAACAACGCACTATGAGTAAATATAGCGTGCAACAGAAGCGGGCGGATAATAATTGCAATCCCGCGTTTGTCACTTCCGATAATATCGCACGTTGAAATAGAAAATTACTATAACATTATACATCAAATAAATCACCGTTTTTATCGCCGCCGATCGCGAGGAGATTGCTGTCGTTGGAGTCGTTAATTGGATGCGAGGTTCGTTGTTACCAACAGTCCGGTGCAACAATTGCGCGTTTCACGTCGTTCATTCGTTCATCGACGAACGACCGCTTTGTCTCGCCGTTCCGAGCGATTTGCGCGCGACGGACTCGTCCTCGCGCGAGAGAACGAGCCGTGGAGATCGGCTAGCAAATCGACACCGGGAATTGCCTCTGACGTTTCGAGCTGGCTGAGGTGAGCGTGCACTCCGTCGGTGTCCGAAACAGTTCTCGGTCGAGAGAAAGAGATGGACGGAGATCACCCGGCGATCTTATCGAAGGTGCCAAGAGAATCCGACGGTAGCGGTCCTCGGCACCGACGACTTGCGTTCTACCTGGCCGGCTTAAGATCTTTATCGGGGATTAACGGGTGTTCTCTCCTGCATCTCGGTCTCACCGGGAAATTACCCCGTCGACCCGGGAAGTCGTTCTCTCTCTCTCTCTCTCTCTCTCTCTCTCTCTCTCTCTCTCGGGTCGAACGACGGTCAACCGATTCGCGATGTCACACGTAATAACATTCGTCTCGCGGCAACACCAGCAGGTCTCCACGTAGACGAGACAGAAAACGACGACAGTGACAGAGACAGAGACAGAGACACCCACAGGACGACGATGACGACGTGGTCGTGCGCGTCACTAGTCGGAAAAATAGGCGAGGACTCACCACGTGTCCGTGCACCGGTGATTTCGTGATAGACTGTAGCTGGGGATAGAGTTGACCAGCTGCCGCCGGCGTCATGTCGGTCAGCATCTCGAGGCCGACCCGGGGGTGCCGCACTCGGCGTCGACGCCTGGCGGATTTCGCGGCGCGATTCGATGAAAAGTTGACACGAGTGGCTGCTGCAGTCGGAGTGGTCCCTCGCGACCGCTCGCTCTTGGAGTCGCGTTTACTTGCTCGTCCTAGTCGTCGTGGTCGTGGCCGTTGCTTTAGATATCGCGCACTACTACTACACTCTCGAGATCACGGACGAGCGAGCGAGAGAGAGAGAAAGAGAGAGAGAGAGAAAGAGAGAGAGAGAGAGAGAGAGAGAGAGAGAGAGAGAGAGAGAAAGAGAGAGAGAATAATAAGTAGACGGCTAGTTAATTAGCTGTTAGTTCTGGAGAACAACGGTAGCTGCTGAGATTCGGCGGCAGTCGCAGAGTACCAAGACACGCTGCGCTGTGCTGAGACCCCGGTCGGCCTCTCGCGGCCTCCGCGCGACTCTCGGAAATGAAAAAAGTCCTCTCGCTGGAAAACTGCCGGGGTATACCGTGGTACCCGTTCTTCGCCCCGTGACAGACTGCCGACTACCCGGACGGCTTGGTCTCTCGACCGGTGAGACGGGAGGATATGGTGGAAGGGAATCGCCCAGGACTCGGCGACCCCCGGGCAAAAAAGGGGCTGGATCCTGAATGGGCGGGAATGGCATCGCGGAACCCGTCGCCGCCCATCAACGCCTACATGTTGTGCCGGGTTTCCTCGACTTTATTCGTCCCCTCCGCGAACCAGGCTTCCACCACCTCCTCGTGCGCTCGCAGTGCGCGGGCTCTCTTCAGGGTTCGCTCCCTCTCCGCCGAGCCATCGCGGAGCGCCGGACCGCCGTCGCTGTGTACCGGTTTGCCCTCTCGCTCCCACTCGGCCTCGCTTCTTCAGCTCGCTCTCTGTCGGCTCTATCGGGCCATCCCCGCCGCGCGCGCGATACCCTGATAGACCCGATTCAGCGGTGAATTGCGCGCGCAACTCGCCGACGGAGGAAGGAGGCACGCGCGACGACCACGACTCGGCGACTTGGAAGCGCGGCTCGCTTTCTCTCTCTCTCTCTCTCTCTCTGTCTCTCTCGCTCGCTCGCTCTCTCTCTCTCTCTCTCTCTCCCCCCCCCTCTCGCTCTTGCTCTCTCCCTCCTTCTTTTTCTCTCTTTTTCTGGTCGTCACTTCTCTTCGGCGTATAGAAACGAACCGGAGGGACTTTCCACCTCTTGGCCTCTCCTCCACCTCGCTGATCCGTCGGCGAGCTCGCTCGCAAGCTCGCTCGCTCGCTTACGTGACCTGGAGTCGTATCGACGCTCCTCCGTCGCTCGCGCACCAGCGGTCTGACATAACGGTATACTCTACGCTGGCGTATCTCTATTTAAATACCGATACGCGACGACCAAGCAGCCGCGATATAGCGTGAAGCCGGGGATACACGCGACGATCGGGAATTCGGGCCGATGATCGACGGCTCCTCGCGCGCATGCGCTCGCGCTGCTCCGTCCCGTTTCGTTTGCGTTCGCACTCGCGTTCGTGTGCGTGTCGTGTGCGCCGCCCGGTGCCGATGGTAAAGGGTAAAAAGGGAGGAACGCGAGAGAAGGCATCTGAGTATATTAACCTCGTTGTCGGCGGGTAGCAGACCCCGTGGTCACACGAGACAGGGAAAGAAAGAGAGGAGAGGAGAGGAAAGGAGAGGTCACGCAATAGCGATCGCGTTTGACGACTCGCGTCTCCGTAATCGCTTTTTAAATGTTTCAGGCTATTTGTTTGGGATTATCCTTAATGCGCGGCGCGTTCAGGAAATTACATGCAAATTGTTTTGTACAGCGCGTCTCTGCCCGGCTGTTTGCCTATCTGTTTGCCTGGTTGGCTGGCTGGCTGGCTGGCTGGCTGGCTGGCTGGTTGGTTGGTTGCGTCGAGTCGAGTCGCGATCGTGCTCTTAATGGGATTTTATTTCGGTCGCTGATGCGAATCGGCGGCAGATAGGCGAGGATTTAATTCCGCGCTGCGCGAGAGCAGCCCGGGGACGACTTTTTCCCTCCTGCCTCTCTTTTCTTCCTTTTCCCGTGTGTGTGTATGTGTATGTGTGTGTGTGTGTGTATTAACTTTGATCCGCGATCGAGTTAGTCGCCAGGCGCGCCCAACGATTAATTGCGCGCCGAGTCTTACATCGTGCGCGCGTGCGCGCACGTATCTCGCCGCGTTTAGATCGGTACACGGGACTTCATAAATCGGGGCTATAAAATCTCTATTAAGAAGAATACGTGAGATTGCGTACATAAACAGACGAGCATGTAATACTCGTGGAATTATATTCGCCGCTCATTGCGGCTGGAAATCGAAACACGATATTTTAACATGTTCGCGTTTCCCGCAATCGTGCGCGAGCACACACACACACACACTCTCTCTCTCTCTCTCTCTCTCTCTCTCTCTCTCTCTCTCCCTTGGACAATCACTTAATTACAGCAAAGCTATTACAGCCCATTTTATCTTCATTTGATCGTGCATGTTTAACTTTATTAGTATTCTAACGGCACTCACGCATACTCGTTCCGTGCGCATTCACGCGTTAACTCGTTATTACAACACAAATGGATCTCTGCGGCTCTCTCGAGCAGTTTTCTCGCCGCGCGTTACGACGCTGGGCGCTTGAGTTAAGCGCGAGCGAGGTATTAACGTTTCGACCGTGCAGCCGCGATAATGCTACCTCGATGACATTATCCACCGGCGATCAATCGCGAAAATAGCTGCGAATCGCGAGAGTCTCGCGTCGATAAAAGCGCTATTCGCGTTATTGATAATGCGGAAAAACCTCCGAGCGGCCGGCGCTGGCCAATTAGATATCTCGCGCTAATGAGCGCATTTGTGAGCGCATTTGTGAGCGCAATGAGGCCGTATTCGCCGTTTGATAGAATCAGATGCGAGCTTGCGTGTCAAGCTGCCACGTCGTGAAAATCAAAGTTGCATTATGGAGAGCGACACGCCCGAGCCTCGATCGACACACGGCGCGATGCCATGCGCGAGGAAAACAACACCGACGACCGTAATTCGTTCGCGTTTCTTCGGCGCTTTGCGAGAACGAGCGGCGCCGAGAGCTCACGGAAGAGCCGTATTAAAAGCAGCGGCAGCGCCACGTCGTCCACGACGAGAACCGCGAGAGAATACACGCCGAAGAACCTAATGCGATTTTAATCGTGCGCTTTGAATTTCAAATGTTATCGGCTCTGTCTTGTAAAGTGGAACACGCTCGGGGAAGCGCATTCAGTGGCGTATCCGTGCGAGCGACACGTTCGATTTCCGTTTTCTCTCTGCGTGTCTTTCGTCTCGTCTCGTCTCGTCTCGTCGCGTCGTCGACCGGCCATTTCAAGCATCGACGAACGACTGTTGTTTTCCGCCGGTTGTCATTTTTCGCGCAATTTCACGTCAATACAAGCGTCATTTTTCAAGCCCTGTTTCGTACTACTCTTTCCCTCAAATCGTGAAACCTGGGGGTTGGCAGTGTTTAGCCGGCGAACTTCCCCGCGACGGGTCAACAATGTGTCAACAATGTGTCGACATTCAGTCGTCGGAGTTTATCGCGGCGACTTTCAGTCTGGTGTATACGCACGAGGTCGCAATATGTAAGATGTGGAAATAACCCTAGTTACAGTATTGAGGCGTATAAAACTTCGCGTACGCGCCACGATGACTTCTCGAGTAGAGAAAAAAGTCACGGATATGCTTGTCTTTGTCGGTGACGGAAATTGCCGAGGAAAATGGAACTTTGTTACGTATCGTTTGCCAATAATCCGCTATCTATAATTCAAGGATCTAGATTACCATCTTTTATCGAACTTTTATATATTCCGTTTGTCACTCGACAAATGAATTCTGTCGTTGCGCGGCGCCACCTCGCGCGTTCGCGATCCAATCGCGATAAATGGAATCGCGTCGTGGGATTGGCGATTCTCAGCAACCGGCAGCATGCCAGCAGTCTTTTAATCAGCTCATTCTTCTTCTCGTTAGCAGCGTGGCCGGCTGCCTTTTTTCTCTCTCGAGATTCGACACGGAAGAAGGATTATTCAGACTCGCCGTTGAAGTCGCGCGTCGCTCTTCGATCTCGCGATTTCGTGGCGTTCAAGTCGCTGGATATTTCGATTATTGCGCGATACTTTTTCGCCATTGAACGAAGATGCACGGCGCGCACCGTCCTACGCCATTGGGCGATGGAGACGCGAGCGACGGGTCGAGGTCGCATTAGGACCTAATTTTCCATAATGGAAGAAGTCCGTGGCGTGGTACGGCGCCACTACGGCGAGGCGACCGGCTAATCGTGGTCCATTCATAACCATTCCCGGCCGGCCGAGCGCGCAACGAGCGGAGGACGCTCGCCTTAGTCCCCGTCGTGATTCGCGCGGGCAATTTAGGCGCGATTTTTCATCGGGCTCTCGGTGACACGTCGCCGAGAGCTCGTCCGAAGGGGTTGTTGACGTCGAATTCGATGATGAATCATGCCTCTCGACGCGAATCTCTGTGCAAACTCGAGGTTGACCGATAAAACGCCACTCATCGCGATCGTCAAACAGAAACACGCATCGTACTGGTGAAATCTCTCTCAATTGGAATGCGCGTTTCGTCTTTATTCTTTATCAATCGCAATCGATACACCTTTAATTAATATCATTGGTCGATAACAATTAGGAACGGAAGGGACTAATTTTACTCTTGGTTCCATTTCCTTCATATCGAAAAGTCACGCGCTGATTATGCGTTGAAAGCGAGGAAACCGGGGAAACGAAATGCAGAAAAGTGGAGCCGTCCCTGGCATCCGAATTTCGCTCAGTCGCGTCGGCATGTTCCCGAGAATCCCGATTAGACGTATCGTCGTCCGCTACCAAGTGGAGTCATTCGCCCGATTTCGTGATTTCGTGCACCGTCGCATCGGTCGGAGGATAGCTCTCACTTGAGATGGCAGCCTCCGATGGACGCGCGTCCGGCTAATCGATAGACGCAGGACGCGAGGAGGCGAGAAAGGAATAGGTTCGCGCGGAACGGCGAAGGGACGTTATCGGCCGCCCGCTACGAATCCTGACGGCGATTATGCGTACATCGCGTGCCACCGGCGCACAAAAGGTGCGACCCGCCCACGCCCTTGCATATCACGGAGTAGAGCAGCGCGCGCGGGGGGGGGGGGAAGGGCCTGTGCGGTGGGCGCGCTCGTTTGCTCGCTCTCTCGCTCTCGCGGGCGCGCAAGAGGAGGGGGAGGGGTGCGAAAAGGGATGTTTTACAATGAACCGAATCAAAGACGGGCGTTAACGCTCGCGGCAAGGACAAATGGCGTTTGGGTCGGCGAGAGAGCGCGGCTTCCGCGCTCTCGGCGCGCCAGCTAGCTATCGAGTTTCCTCGTTTTCAGATTCTCCCGCACGAGAACGAGAACGGGCACGCGCGCTCTCTCTCGCGAGAGAGAGAGAGAGAGAGAGCGCGCCCGCGCCGTTCCCCCGGATTTATTGCGACCGCGGACGGTGAACCCCCTTCCGCTTCCGAAGCACGCGAACGAACCCCCGGAAGATAAATCGCTCGCTCGGTATTCTGTTTCTCTCTCCGTTCCTCCCCCCCCCTCTCTCTCTCTCTCTCTCTCTCTCTCTCTATCTCACTTCCTCTCTGCTTATCTCTCTGTCTCACACAGCGGACGGACGTTTAATTCGACGTTAATGTATGGATGCGCGCGCGCGCGCTCGCGCGTGTCTCGTTGAAAAATTGATTAGCGTCGATATATCGACTCAGCGGCGACGCGACGCGTTTCCTTGGCGGCGCGACAGATAGGTAGGATCGACCCGCCGCCGCCGCCGTCGTCGCCGCGACTTATGCATCGGGGATCTCTTGATGATGGATCGTTGATTGGCAGAGATGGGCCATGGGGTTGAAAGGGAAATGGGGCCTAGGGGCCTCACGGGGGCGGATAATGACAGGGCGGCCTCGCGTAGCGAGGAGATGGTCTCGCGCTGGGACCAAGCAAGCAGCTCTCTTTCTCTTTCTTTCTCTCTTTCTCCGGGGGCCCTCGCCGCTCGTTCGCT